TTCGGTGGTTTCTCATACTAAAAATGTACAAGACGAATTCCATCCGTGGGAATCCTAGATGTAGCACACGCAAAGGAAAAACGACCTTCGTAACGATCGCTGGTTGCAAATTAGTCATTGTGGAAAACTTATTCGAGACCACCACTCAGTCTTGTCGAAAGAATCAAACTGACTGAGGGAAAGGAACGGTCTACAGCTGTTATCACGGTGGAAAGCTTCAAGCGGAGCATCACACAGTTATCATGTACAAAGATCTCCAGGTTTAAAAAACAAAACAAACATATCAGAATTTGGTGTTATAATAACAAGTCTTTCAAGACTCGTTTGAAACAAACACTGAACAGACTTTTAATAAGAACTTCGAAGACATAACCCATCTCCTTATGTATTGGTAGTCAGCATCACAACATTTTCAAAAGGTGTGAACTGCTCAAGCAATACCTTAATGTGTTTAGGACGTGTTTACTAAACGATTAAAGTACTCCTATAATTAAAAGCGCATGGCCTCGTGTGTGCTATTTTATCAATCTCAAAGCATGCCAAGTTTACCTAACTTTTGTGCAATTTTACTATCCAAATACAACACTACCAGCTTCCAACGTACATTTATACAAGATTAATTATCCGCCGAAACGGATTGCTCGTGGATTTGTAATAATGGCAGGAGTAGTCAACACGACAATGTGCTACCTAATTATCCCTTTGTTCACAATTCAAAGAACATTCAACACTCGATTGTTATCTCTACTGACGGAAATACTCGAAATAAATACAATTATATGGCGATCAATGGATTTTAAGTCCTTCACAGTCTAGTAACGCACGTGGCGATCACCTCCTGTGTTCTTTCTAGAAAGGAAAAAAAACATTCCGCTTATTATTTCCGGCCATAATAATATTTGACTGTTACTGTTAAGAACACGGTCGGTTTGTTTTGGAAACTTTTATGAACACAGTTTGGTTTGTTTTGGGAGGCTTCGCCTGTCGTGACAATTGAGTTAAGTGTGTGAGGTGACACTCAGTTTGCCTTTTATAACAAAAGTAAACCGCAACCGCCACAATCAGTCACCACAATGCAAATTGACTTCAATTAATCTTGCGTCAACAGTAATCATGCTATCGAATTTGAAACATTCCTTTGATAATCAAGATGCAATTTCCACTTTCTCGTTTTCTTATCCATGATTATAACGGTGGACTTTCCTGGTAAATGATCAAATAAGAGATTTAGTTGCAGTCTGTTACGCTTTTTGGCATTATATGGTTTATTGATCAAGCTTGCTCGGTATCGGTAGGGCGGATATCGGCCGCGTTCATTTTTTCGTGTTTATGGACCGAGAGGCAGACGAGGTCCATAAACACGCAAAAAACAAGAACGGGCCAATATCCGGCCATCTTTATCGAACAAGCTTGGTCAATAAAGGATTTATCAAACGGTATGAAAAAAAAATTTCAAGCGGGTAATAGCGAATAATCCCAAGCGGACGAGACAGTTCAATCTTGTTCGCTCGACTACCCAATCACGGCGCAGGATTTGACTGATCTCGACCACTCGGGAAGCTTGCCTAAATGTTTCACCAGGTATGAAGTTTCACTAGCTCTTTAGCTGCCTCGGGTCAATTCATATCTAACATGTTTCCTTCTGTACGCAAAGCCGTATGCAAATGAGCAAAAATGTAAACAATGACGTCAGCATGAATCTCCCTATACTGTCAGTAAGGGGACAAAAATTGTTGTCCGAGCTTTCAGTTCAGAAAGTCGCGGTTGATCGACTCGTTAGTATTTACATGTACTCAGATGCGAAGGCATGCTCATGGTTGTTTATGTTCTCCTTTGGAATCACACAAGTGGAACCATACACGAGCTAACTGCCGTCTAGAGATTTTGCACGTTCGAAATTGTAAATCCCATATCTCCTGCGTTTGCAAAGTAATTCGTTCACTTAACCAGTCTTGTAGCTTATTTCGCTACATAGCTAATTTTGGGTCCTTTGCTAGTTACTTTCGGGGACTGGTTCGTGTTTGGTTATTACGCATGCTCAGTCGAAAGCCCGCACCCACGCAGTCACCCACGTAGTCTGCAGTGGAACTTTCTTGGAACGTCTGCAAGGAACGTGTGTCACGAAGCTATAAAGGAACGGTTCTTCGTACAGATTAGGGTCTGGTATGTTTGCTTCGTCTGTGTCAATATACAGCTATAATACTCTCCACAAGCTATTCAACTACAGCTTCTCGAGCCGCTGGCGAGTAGAATCATAATACACAATATCATGCTAACGTATCAAGTAGCCACGACTTTCTACCCAACTTTAAAAATTCAAAATATCAACCTTGTTACTCTACTACATTACGCGGAGTACCAAAACAGTTGTTTGCTTCGTGAAATAAAGAGGAGAGTCTACAACCAAGGTTTCCATATCGTGAACTGATAACGTGCAAACAAGGTCTAGAGAATTCTTTTCAGTTTCAATTTTTCCTGTCAGGTTTTCAAGATTAACTCGCTTTCAGATAGTATATTTGCTGTAATTCACGTCCACGATCGCAAAGATCAATGCAACGGACACAAAATGGCGCCCACATGGCCCTAAAGATTCAGCGATAAACTTGTTCTTAGATCTCTTTAGCATCTGAACCTCAGCACAACGAAAGCACTGCATATGGCGACAATTAATGACAAAAAGACCAGTCCGAGTGCCTTATATCTTTTTCCTTTTGATTTCAGATGGCAGCTAAAAAGCAGAAGGTGAGAAGTTCAAAGAATTCCCTGTTTTCAAAGGATAATAACCTCCAAAGTGTAATTGTATTTTGCATGAAACGCCGAATATAATTCGGTAAATATTAAATCGAGCTTTCAGCTTAGTGTAATGCCATCGGACAGGAAGAAACTAATTGCTACAGCCGGCCAAATAATCTGTTTTTTGGGACTGCAGGAAAAAGAAGGAAGTTCCTCAGACGAGGATGAAGGCACTCCGGCAGAGAAGTTTCCTCGTGAGAGTACCGGGTAAGATAATGGGCAGTTTAAGCAACCTACGAATCTCGCTATTCATCTCTCTCTCGTCCACTTTTTATCATTATCAGAGTTTCTCAAAAAAGAATTCGTAAGATAGCCTCAAACTCGCGTTTCTGTTTTTAGAGAATGACAAAGAAATGCACCAAGATTTTTAACATACGTGCAGAGC